TGCACAAAGGAAAAGAAGAAGACAAAACAATTAAAGGAGGAACTAAAAAAGAAGACAAATGGAAGAAAGGTAAACTGTTAATCCTGTGGAAAATTACAATAATTAGTTAATTAATTTAATAATTATGCAAGCACTTCAGATTTTGATAAAAGGCAAACTTGAATAATGTGCTTATGTTATTTAGTTAGATTAATATTTATCAAAATATGGCAGTGTTTAGGCCACTAATTCTATTGTTTTGACTGTATCATTTGTCTCATCTCGATATTGTATGCATATTGACAACACAACTCTTATTGATACACTGTAACTGTACTGTGTTGACTTGTACATACCATAGAAGAATTTGCTCTTATTTTACAAGATCTGATATTTATTTATTTAAAACATGATAATCAATGATCACTACGCAACCTAGCATGTAGAAGAATTATTTGATGTGATAGTGTTGTGCTCTGATAACTTTTATCATGTATGCTTTGATGTTTTACAGGCACTATTGGTATATTAGTACTTTGTGGGGGGTCTTAATTAATCTCTTTATTATTTTCTTTAACCATAATATCCTAACACTAATTTAATACCAATTAAAAATGTAAAACTAACTATTTTTCAGAATAATAAGATATATGAATATGTAATTTGACATCTGTATCTAAAAATTGTTTTTATTTTATTTTTGAAGAACTAAACTTATTTAAGTTATTTACTTTAAATTAATTAGAAGAAATTTATTACCAATTAATAGGGTATTTATTTTCTAAAGTTAAACATGGTATTTATGGTATACATTCATATAATTAATAGGTTTTTTCTGTTCACTGCGAGATATTGCATGTAAGACACAGGCCAAACATCTGCCACAGAAAACAGAACGATTTGATTTTGATTTTAAATTTCTTTTTTAAATGGTTAAATGTTGAAATGATAATCTTTGAAGAGGGAAATATTTCATCAAAATTGACCATCATCACATGTTATAGCACATGTTACATGTTACTGAGTGTGGAAATCCCCCCAAAATACTTTTATATCTGTCTATATCCACACAATATTTTGATGCAACTACTCTATGACCTCAATTTCCCATATATCTCAGGATCTTGCAGTGAACAAAGAAATGATCTATTGTGATAATAATGGTCTATATGATTTAACAAAAGGCAGGAAAGGTTTAAATCTATCATGTTATTTTAACTTTTATGTGACACTTTGAAAACACTTCAGAAGTCATTACATCATAATTATTGTAAGTCCAGTTGTCTTTTGTTACAGTACAACTTTGGTGTTGGTAAGCCTGTTGTCTAATGTGACAATACCACTTCAATTTCATAATTATTGTAGGACTTAACATAATTGTCTGTTGAAAGAGAATTCTCAGTTTGGAAAGGATTCAAAATTATCTAGGCTATGGAGCAATCAAAAATTGTATTTTGGAAACCCAGAACCTTTTTTGAATACCTTTATTGAAGGCAGTAACAAGAAAAGTATCGAAAAGCTTCAACAAAAGTACAATTCAAACTGTTAAAGCACTCATTGACTAAATATTGAAAATAACAACTTAAAAAATGTGGAATTTGTTCTCTCTTACATTCTTAGTGTCAACTCAAATGTGTAAAATTACCAGCATTTGGCTAGTTTGCCATATAAATACATGAAAAACAAAGAAATTACTAGAAATAGAGATAAATAGAGAATAAAATGCAGAACAAATATGCAAAATAATATAATGATTTTAGACCCATCCATCTTATGTGATAGTAAAACTTTAATTCCATAATTATTATTGACCCAGCCACCATATTACTAGTATGCTTTATTGGAATTATTCATTCACAAAGCAGTTACCCTAAAGCCTTAAATTCCAACAAGCGCAATTCATTCATTGTTGAACATTTCACATCACTCTCATAGTTTTGTGAGCATATTATGGGGATTGTATAAAAGCTAAGATTTGTGATCATGAAGTTCACCGGTGTTCACACTATCTACTCTCAATATTTCTGGTGTATATATACATTAAACTGGTTGTGGGTAGTATTAACATCCCAAGTCCTACTTCCTCTTGCAATGCATTATGGGAAATGACTGTATTGGACACCATAAAGTGTATTTCACCTATGATGATAATTATATCTCCATTTCTTTCTCCCATCCCAAGGTGTTGGCAAGATTGCTTTGCTTGGTAGGCATATTCTGGAGAGCGTTACCAGTTTATTACCTAATTAACATATCACCGAGTGATTGACTTGTAGATTTACAACTATCATCCATTTCATCACGATTCATGTAACATTATGCACCTTTCATTATTCATCAGGAATATTTCAATGATTGTAAAATAATGATACTACATCCCCTTTTATCCCTCATCTGCCAAGATATATGCATGCCATCAACTTTTAAACATATACTAGGTTTTAAATTGTATTCATGTAATCATAGAAATCCATCCAAATGACGGTATTTTAGTTATTTTCCAACTTGACTTGGCCAACTTTTAATGCTCCCTACTCATCTATCTATTCTTAGTTATTTTTGGAGGGTTTTCAGAAGAAAAAAAAGATTTGATTCACATTATATTGGAAGATTGGTATCCTGTTATTCTAGGGATAAATACACATCTTTTTTACTAAATTGATGCACCTATGTCTGAAAATAAAGAATGTTTCAGAAAAACTATTATTTGTAAAATATTCATGTACGACTGTTAAATGCTTAAATTTTTGGTATAGTGCCCTCATAGGTTTGTAATGTAGATTTTAACTTTTAAGGGAGTGTTTGTTGCTATGGCAATGCTAACTGTAATTTGTTTTCTTTCATTTCTCTTGTCTTGCTTTGATGTATGATGTGCTACTACTTATTCATTCCCATGACACACCTGTACTGTGATGACATCATTATTTAATATGTAAATGACTGGATTGTTTGTTTGCTGCACCTTACCTACAGAAACTCAGAGGCATGGGTCAAAAGGTTAATGACTCTTTCATTGTCTTGCTATTTTAACCAGACCAATTTTACCCACGCTTCATCTTAACAAATAACTGTACTGAGCAGAGGTTTCCTAATAGATTTTCACTGACATTTCAAACAAAACTTTTGTATGCACTACTAGTATTTGTTTATACAAGTTTGCAAAATTTGAGCTATGATGATTATAGTAGGTGAGGGTTTCAATAGCTGCAGACAGTGACATATGTGTAGCTGGTAGCTGCAGCCATTCATCTTACTTGAGTCACACTAATTCCCACACATTTGGGTAATTTTCAGATAAAACATGTTATTTGTTTGTGTTGCCACTGCTCAGGCACAGAATAGAATCAGTCTTGGTTTCTTTGTGCATGAAGTGACCATGGTAACCAATTTAAACAGTACAATGTTGGGCTAACTCTTAAACTTGACAATTCTGTCTAATAAAATTATCTGACGTTTCTCATCAACCAGATTATTTAAAACTCTTGATAATATGAAACAATAATAATGCACGTTTAGTTGTTACTAATGAACTTATCAGCTTTAAAATAAATTAAAAAAACAAATAACACCAATCCTCCTCGACAGTGAAGCAAAATCTTAACAAAAGTTAACACTTTTCTACCACTAAAAACAAAGAACAGAAGAAGATGGTACAATAACCAAAACATTCTGAAATACCAAAGTCAAGTTCAAGTCGTCGTCTATTATGAATATTAAATAGCACTCTTAACACCATGGTTTGCACTTCAGTTACAATATGCACTTGATATATATTCATTTCATAATTAAATTATTCATGTTTATGTACAAAGTTGCCTCATGTAACTGAGTTGTGCTTGTTAGTTGTAGAAATAATTGAACCCAAGCTTGAACATCTATGCATATAGGGTTTTTTATGGACATGTTTGATGTTTTATTTTGATAAACATCTATCTCTCGGATATTTGAGGCAACTTCAAATTACTATGTTTAACAGTGCATTCTGCGTGTGCAAGCGTCCCATACCAGATGGCCACCTGTACGATTTATTCAATTATTAGGTTGCATACAAAACCTCACATTATTTGATCTCTGCACTTTGGTGTGTGATATAGTATTTACACAAGGGAGTATTGCACTGCAGTCTTCTCTGTATTTATGATTATTGCATATATAGTAAATCATCAGTAATACAAACAGTTGGTTCCCCATCATATTTTTGCCACTCAGTTTAATTCAGTGTATGTAGATTTAGCTTTAATTTAATTTGACTGTATAACCTTTAATATTCCCTCAGTAATATGTCACCGTGCTGGCAAACAGAAAAGCAGTCACCCAACAGATGTGCAGACCAACTCTTAGAAACACAAAAAAAAAATTGGTGTAGTATGGGTAACCAGCTGTCTGTTTTACTTCAATATTTGTCACTATATGCGACATACCCATTTCATCTATTTCATACTGGTGTACCGGTAGTAGTCACAGTCAAACTAACTTGTGGTTTAGAAAAGACAATGCATTAATCATATCAAGTACTTGTTTAGTTATCAACCCAGACTGTATTCATGTGTAAAGTCTTGAATACTTTTGAGTTGAACACAGACTGGGTTGATGCTGATACACTGATATTCTGTATGTACTGTACTTATCACTGTAGGCAGGGTTCTGATTTGCACAACTTCTTTCTTTCTCTCTCTCTCCTTCACAACAATACTTATTTAGCATCTGTTGTAGCTGAGGTTCAAGGAGGTAAAACAGCTAAAGGAAAGAAGACTGTAGGGGGCAAAGACAAGAAAGCTTTGCTTCCTGAGGCAGAGGTGAGTACTGATATTGATCAATTGTTTAGTGAATGTTGATTGTACTTGTTATCAGTTCAAATTATACCAGGGGGTATTGACACCATCCCTGGGAGAGTGTGTATTACCGGTATTACTAAAACAGCCTTGGTTTCTTGACAGAAATAAATATGTTTTATGGACTGTCTCTCTACTGCATGGAATATACGAGTATACTGTAAAACATGTCAAACATTTTCGCGAGCATGTCTTTTTCACGAATTTAGCGAGAGAACTGATTCGCTAATTCAAGATGTCGCTAATGACTTAACAACAAAGAAATCAACAATGACAAGAGAGAATCACTAAATTAACATTTCGCTATTACGTCATTTTACCACAATTCGCTAAAATTGCATGCCGCTTTTTAGCTCCGCTGTCGACTTCTTCAAGCAGGGCTTATCATATGAGTGATTGTCTGTCGTTCATGTCAATGTTTTACTTTTTTGACTTCTTCTTGAAAACTACAAGCCTGAATGCTTCGATACTTGGTATATATGTACCTTGGGTAGACCTCTCTCAGATTTGTTCATTTCATGATGATATCTTTAGTTCTCTAATTTTGGTCAATATTTCTGTCATTTTTGGTAAAAAGTGATATTTTCGACTTCTTGTTAAAAACCAAAAGTCCAATTGCTTTGATATTACATATATAGGTACTACATGTGGACCTCTCTCAGATTTGTTCATTTTGTAATGATATCTTCAATTCTCTAATTTTGGTGAATATTTTTGTAATTTTTGGTAAAAAGTAATATTTTCAACTTCTTGTTAAAAACCGCAAGTCCAATTGCTTTGATATTACATATATAGATACAACATGTGGACCTTTCTCAGATTTGTTCATTTTGTGATGATATCTTCAATTCTCTAATTTTGGTGAATATTTTTGTAATTTTTGGTAAAAAGTGATATTTTCAACTTTTTGTTAAAAACCGCAAGTCCAATTGCTTTGATATTACATATATAGGTACTACATGTTGACCTTTCTGAGATTTGTTCATTTCGTGATGATATCTTTAATTCTCTAATTTTGGTGAATATTTTTGTCATTTTTGGTAAAAAGTGATATTTTCGACTTCTTGTTAAAAACCACAAGTCCAATTGCTTTGATATTACATATATAGGTACTACATGTGGACTTCTCTCAGATTTGTTCATTTTGTGATGATATCTTTAATTGTTCAATTTTGGTGAATATTTTGTCATTTTGGTAAAAAGTGATATTTTTGACTTCTTGTTAAAAACGACAATTGCTTTGATATTACATGGATAGGTACTACTTGTGGACCACTCCCAGATTTGTTCATTTCATGATGATATCTTCAATTCTCTAATTTTGATGGATATTTTTGTCATTTTTGGTAAAAAGTGATATTTTCTTCTTGTTAAAAACCACAATCATTTATGGTGAAAAATGACATTTTTGAATTCTTGTTGCATTGCATTGATACTATGCATATTGTTCATTTTCTAATGATATCTTCTGTTCTTTAATTGAAATGTGCATTGCGAACAGTGGATCTATCTCAGCCGACAGGCTGCTTGTTAAACATGTTATGCAGTAATACGTTTAGGCAATTGTGGTGCTGTAAACATTTATATATATAATTTTATTGATGTGATTATTTATGGGATCACCATGACTCCCAATTTTAAAGATTATAGTGACATATTCACTGCTGAAAAATGTGATTTTCCCATTATACGTTTTTTGAACAAAATTGAGTTGCAGCATACTGAATAAAACTATTTTACATTTATTTATCTTTTAGACTCCAGACGTTGTTGAAGCTATAAATCCACTTATGGAACAAGTTGAAAATATGGATGGTAAATCGTGGATACCTGGAAATAGAGCTCTTATTAATATTAATTTATCAAGTAAGTCCAAAATGCTGCTATTACAAGATATGAACTGATCATTCGTTGTGTCGTCACAGGAAGCACTGTCCTAGCACAGACCTGCGTCATATGACGCCTTACTAGCCGATTTTGGCTAAAATAGCGCTCCACCGCCTCTTTACACTAGTGTTTATACACGGAACTTGATACTTTTTTTTAGTCCCCGTTCGGACGGAGTCCGAAAACGGGGACTTATGTTTTGCCCTGTGTGCGTCCGTCCGTGCGTCCGTGCGTCCGTGATCACCTGTATCTCGAACATGCATGGACCGATTATGTTCAAACTTCACTCATACATCACACATTATATGGGACATATGCACATGCATTTTTTTCATGATCTGATTAACGATAGCCGAATAGCGGCCATTTTAAGGCCGAAAATGCATTGAAATCGCACATTTTCACCATTCCGGACCCAGATCTCAGTTATGCATGGACGGATTTCATTCAAATTTGGTACATACATTAAACATAATAGGACCTTGATGCACGTCATTTTTTTTTTCAGATCAAGTTCGAAATGGCCGACTGGCGGCCATTTTGTTTTAAAGAATTCAGTTCTGGATCCGTATCCGAGACATGTCTGGATTGATCAAGTTCAAACTTCCACACACACAAGGTACATCATGTCACAAATATGTATGTGCATT